TGTTAAAGGACTAGTGGTGTATCAAACGAGTTGCTCGAATGCAGGAAGTATGTGAAACGAGCCCACGAATGATAAATTAAACTATTGAAGAAGATCCACTGATTCATTGATACGAGTGCCCTTTCAATATGTTTTCAGAAGGGGAATCAAATCATGAAGTAACTATATAAATGCAGCGGAATACAAATATTTTCTAAATGTCATATATTCGTTACATTTAGAACATCTGTATCCCGTTGTGTTCATACCACTGTAAAAGCAAGCAAAGCGCTGTTCAATCCATATAAAGATTTTAGATATGACGTCATCAACATATACATTGTAATACATGAACGCGAACTTAAGGCAATAATGAATAAAACGAGAAGACGAACACGTTGTGTAACAAAGCACTGCTAAACACCATTCCGGTAGCCCTTGGCTACCATACCACCTAAAAGATTTAAGGATTCAACTGTACACCGTTATTTAGAATTATAAAAACAAAAGTCACGTGTATTGTCAATGTCCTTAAATGTTCATCAAAATTATTATGTCTATTAGTATTCACTTTTCAAAATTTTGTTCTCTCCAAGGAAGACTTTATTGATATTTTCTGCTATTTAATGCGTCCTAATATCTATATTAAGGGGACTGTTGTATTTCATATTTAAGGACGTTATGGCGTTAAATTGACAATTCATCTGAACGGAAACAAACAAAAAAGTTGAGAGTAAAGAACGACAACTCGGTGCACAGATTAATTAATTACTGGACCTGTCGTATAATACATGTAAATAAACAAAGATCACGTTTGTTTATTTCTGGTTTGCGTATCTACTTCAGCCTCGGGTTAACATGTAATTCCTGCACGAGTGCAGTATTTTAGGGAAGATCCATGTGTCATTTTTCATGTGGTATTTACAATGATATATGTGTAATTAAAGATTGGTCTTGCCCCGAAGTGTATAATGGTAGAGATGAAACATTATCATAATCTTAAAATAAATATATTTTGGCGGGAGTAAAGAGAGTGAAGTTCTTTTGTCTATTTCTGTTCCGATCCGAAATGGCACTGAACATAAATTAATATTTTTTATGCTGTCGTTGTTGAAATTGTTAGGATAAAGCTGTGTTTATTTGGTGTTGACGTCACGCAGTTACGCAAGGTGACGAACGTACACTTAAATAATTACCCCGCACGGAAATATAACACATGTGGGCGAAGTTCCTCAACTCCAGTGTTTGTATCTATCGATATTAGACATGGCGATAGCTTGAATGCTGACTTGTCACTTCTTTTATTGTGGGTAAACGACTAATGTTTGCCAACAGCCCTACATTTTATTTAAGCATGATTTATAAATGAGGAGACATGTAAAACAGTACGGGTTAAATTCACGCGATCCAAACAAACATCAAAATTGTCTGTCACTGAAAACTGCGTTTTTTGCTCTCATGATTGAGTTAAATCCTTCCATTCTAAGCTCAAATCTGCATTTATCATTTTTGTATTTAAATCGACATAAAATTGTTTTAAGATGTTCCGAAATCTTCCTTGATGCCATTTTGATATTAACACTGGTCTCTGCTCGACACCCTGACAAAGTCACAAGTTTTTTTTTGTGGAAGGATTCACTCTCAAAAATCCAAACACACTAGTTCCTTTTTAAAGTATATTAAATATTATTATACAGAAGTATATGAGGAGTAATGCACAGCAAGTTTTAATCAAATTCTCAAAATGTGTATCTCGAGGATTCTGAAATCATTGTCAATTCTTCAATATAAGAAGTGCTTCACCTTAAACATGTTTTCAAACAATATGTATATGAAAGAATCATAATCACCTTCAGTTTCAAGTTGAGAATTGGTCCAAAATTTTAGACCGATAACGAAAATTCTTCGAACTTAAAAATATTCTTATTCGCTTGTGTGTCTGTTGTACAAAAGTAAAGATGGCAAACTTGTATGAGCTAATCTATGCTATTTCCAATAGCAAGATAGTTGATTGAAAATATTGCAACAACTCATTGGCATTGTTTCACACGTGAACTATATAACTTGTTTACCATACTTAGATTTTAATGGGATTTCATCTAATGTGATACGAACATCCATAGTAAGTGTATACGGTCAGTTACCAAAAAATAAAAGCTGTTTTTTATTTCCTCGTTGCAATCGTGTCCTGGAATAATCAAACAGCTAAGTAATTCATTCTATAGTATACCCTCTGTTGAAATAAAGGCCAAAGCTTACATCAATGGTTAAAAAAGGCAGAATAAAGACAACAGATATTATTAACTCATTAAAACCTATCTTGAACGGTTCGTTTATTTTAGGCACAATCGTTTTAATCATGACGATTGAATGAACAAAAGGCAATCACACAATCGATCACAGTAATCTGATGTTGGACCACAGTATAAAAGTGTGTCACCATAAGGTCTGTTTCTCTAGCTAAGTTCCAAAGGACTCCCAACAAACGTTACGTCATGATCTAGTTCACACCAGTCTTTAGATTAACAACGCATATTAATTTTCAATATCGTAAACTCCCAATATTTTACTGAAATTCTTGTGAGGACTGGAAATACTTCAATAAGGTTTAGTTAGATATTAATCAATTTGGTTTGAAATCCGTGTTAAAATTTTAATGTATCTGTTATAAGATGAGAGACATACTGTTAATTGCAGTTTGCATGTGTAAGATGAGACATCACAAATGACATACTACTGACTGTACAGGTAAACATGGACTTTAAACAGGTTAATGGAGACTACAGAAAAAAATAGATATGCACTTTTTAACAGGTCCATAAATGATAAGCACTAGATATATGTATTTCTATTGAACAAATGAAGGTGAGACTTACCAGGCGAAGTGTTTTATCTCCTACCACTGCTTGTCCTTGTTACATGTGTACGACACATGCGGCCTTATCTCTTTACCTCGGGCCACATATTAACATACTGGTAGTCGACCGCTACACCGACCATAACTTATACCAATAACGGTAATAATTATCTTAATGGAGCAATGCTATTATTTAAAATAAAATTTGATATCCAGGTCAATGAATCTTCTGTTACACATGTGTATTATATACACCAAGATGTCAATGAAATGACATAGACATATACCAAAATGTGAATATAATCTTATATAGTGACAGAGAAATATACATATGCAATAATTTGAATAATACTAAATTAATTTCATACTCTCTTATCTGAAAGAAAAAAAACCCAGGTTATACTTATAGAATGTCATATTTGTCTAGTACTTGTAGTTCTTAAATTATCAAATACAAGGAAGTAATGACAGTTTTAAATTATGGGGACAAGGCATCTACCAATCTAGATTTTGACATTTTTTCGATCACTTTTCCTCAGTGTGTCCTATAAGGACGGAACATCTTTATGATGCAGTTTGATTCATAATTTGGTCCTACTGTATCTGATTCTAAATTTGTACTGAATGGTTGCTACTCACTAACATGTCGTTTGTAAATCTTGGCCAACACTATCACAACACAACAACATTGTCAACTTCAGTAATATCCATCAGTACAAGCCCGATAATTACGTGTTCAGAAATTCATTTGTATAAGTATCTTATAGAAATAGAAAAAATAAACATGCCCTTTCCCCATTATAGACACAATTCCAATGCAACACAAACAAGAGTACATGTTAGCAGTTTGTGTGATGTTACCGGTGTCATGTAATTGAACAAGAAACTCCGGCGTTCAAAATACTCAAGGACTATCCTTTAAAAGGTTCGACATGCGTTAGTGAAACATAACTCTCCTTGTACAATAGACACAAAGTACACAAATCACACTTCCCAATTGTCAAGAACGACACACTTTGGCAGGTTTTGACACTTGGTTTGATGTTTAAGTGTTTTCCAACCACAGAAAAAATCCATTTATAAAGAGAGACAAAAACATAGTTCATCTTTATGCAGATATATGTTGATATACGTTTATCATTCTTGTTTTAGGCTGGACAAGGTTTATCATTCTTGTTTTAGGCTGGACAACATTTATCATTCTTGTATTAGGCTGGACAACCGTGTTCATTCTTGTATTAGGCTGGACAACGTTTATAATTCTTGTTTTAGGCTGGACAACGTTTATCATTCTTGTATTAGGCTGGACAACGTTTATAATGCTTGTATTAGGCTGGACAACGTTTATAATGCTTGTATTAGGCTGGACAACGTTTATAATGCTTGTATTAGGCTGGACAACGTTTATAATGCTTGTATTAGGCTGGACAACGTTTATAATGCTTGTATTAGGCTGGACAACGTTTATCATTCTTGTACTAGGCTGGACAACGTTTATCATTCTTGTACTAGGCTGGACAACGTTTATCATTCTTGTATTAGGCTGGACAACGTTTATAATGCTTGTATTAGGCTGGACTACGTTTATAATGCTTGTATTAGGCTGGACAACGTTTATCATTCTTTTTTAGGCTTGACAACGTCAATGATTATTTTATTAGGCTTGACAAAGCTAAAATTTTTATAACACATATTTCTATTGATTGCTGAAATTACGTCTAAGATATTTTAAAAGTATATCAGGAATGTAAACTAGGTGGTTAATACCAAATTGTCTGCATACAAAAAGAGCTATATGTTCAATGTGAGTGATCCATAAAGACATGAAGCTTTCAATAGTGCATTTACACTGACATTTTGAATGTAAAAGTCTCATTTATAAAAGTGAAGAATGATATCTTATTTTTAAGTAAATAATATGAAGAACAAGATTCTTGACAATGACAAGAAAGAAAGTTATTCCCGTTGTCAAATGCATACAACTCCTCATGGGAAACTTAAACTAACAGGAAAACCACGCATTGTTTTTATTTCTATCCAATCTCATTAAATTTTGCATTGTCTTTAATCCTAAATAGACATGCTTTGATAGTTTAATTAATAGATATTTAAATATTGTTTTATTCTCTATTATTACACTACTTTTGATTTCTTGACAGGTGAAATGATAAATTTCAGAAAACTGCCATTTTGGGAAAAGTTTTCGTTCGGCAGATCAGATCTGAATGCTCATTTTTTACCGAACCATTCAACACATGTCCAATCGTATAATTATGACAACGATCCAGACTACAATGTAGTAATAACACCGGCACCAGACTACGACGAAAGCCCAAAACATTCAAGAAGTTTTAAAAGTTTCTGGACTATGAAAGGAAGATCGAAGAACGCACCTAAAAGAATACATTATTTTTACGATTCTGGCGATAATGAAAACTCTCAGAAACGGAAAAAAGATCACCACTGCTCTCACAAGCAGCATCGTAAGCATTCTCCAGAACGAGAGGAAAGCCCTTCAGATGATTCAGACAGCAGTTTTTCTAGTACATCAACACACAGCACGATGCATTACAGGAAAGTATCAAAGGACAAGAGACACCGGAGAAGAAATAGGTCATCTTCCGAAGAAAAGCAGGAACGGAAATCTCGAGCGCGTTCTTCGAAGAATCACGAACATGATTTTGAATCATCTCCTTACTTTAAACGAAAGCACAGGCGAGGATCACCACTGCAACGTAATCAGGACGGGATTTCCTGTCGAAGAAAAGAAAAGGACAAACGCACCTCAGACAGTGATCATAAACGTGGAATACGAGAAAATGGCCGGGATAGCTACGCCTCAGATAGTTCTTCTGACAGAATACAAGCGAAGACAATGCGACAAAGGAAACAAACTAAATCCAAGAAAAGTAGGAAAATTATTGTTTCTGACACGGACGAAAATTGGACGATACGTGAAAAAACAAAAAAGCGATCTGATGGTGTGATGTTGAAAATAACAATGAATGATCTGAGGAATGTTATTACAGAAAACGTTTTATCGGCGGTAAAGCAGGGAATCGACGATGATATGACGAAACAACCTATGAAATGTGTTTCACCGGAAATACTCACCACGGACACAGAGACACTTAATAGTGGGTTTTCCGCCGGAAGTTGCAACTCCACCGATGCATTATTACCCGTCATATCTGGAAGAAGAATGTCATCTGCTTTTCAGCCTGTTCCACAGAGACAGAGTGGGATGTTGAAACGGTTTATACCCGTACCTTCATCCGCTAGTTCTGACAACACTGGGAGTCGGAATAGTTCTGTTGCTACAGTAAAAAGTTTCCTGTCTGGCAGCACGACTGACGCGGTCGACATGGCAGTAGGGACTGCTGGCAACGGGGGTGGTTTTGGCGCATCGATGGCACACTACGACCGGCTAGAAGATAAACTGATGATACAAACAAACTCTCTACGAGGGCGCCATATAAGAGAATCTGAGGGGCTGATATATGAGGAAAATATCCCACAGGCAACAATACATCAAAATCTAAGTGCTACACAAGGGAACCAAAGCTATTTCCAAGACGGAAATTCAAGCGGAGGAATGTTGTCACCTAGGAATTCAATGGATTTTCACAGTGAACCTGTAATGGGACCTTTCGTTCTTCCAGATTCGAATGGTCGCAGAATGAGTACGACATACAATAACTCACAGATGAGTTCAATGACTAGTGACTCGGACGTTCAAAACACCAGACAAAGACGAGGATCGATGAATCCCAATTTTGGCAGTACTCTACCTAATACTTGTACCGACCATACACATTTGCGAAGACAAAGCATGTGTTTGAACATGCCATCTTTACATACAAATGACACTGTCGTCCCTAACCAGGCATATTTATCTCGCAGACGCCAGTCATTACCAGTCAATCTCACTACTTATCCATATACTGACCTCGCGTCTATTGGAATGGAGGCGATATTGGCTGCCTCCGAAGCGAAAAAGCATTCATCGACAAAGGAAAAGTTACCAGCAGAAAAATGTCTCTCAACAGTCTTAGAGGAAAGTGCAGACTCAGTTGACGACAAATCGGCAAAAGGTAGGTAGAATATATTTATCATTATTTGATTAGTCGATATATATCAAATCATTCTGATTCGTCAACTTATTGTGTCGAAAGACATATTTTCAGATGTGTTGCTCACATTTACCGATATATCCAGCATAGAAATGTTTAAATAGTAATATTACTTTTAAGGATGCGTAGACAACAATTAAAAAGAATAGGAAGTCTATTGTTGAATAATTCTAAAATGCATTTTTCCCATCTTTAATTTTAATTTTATATACAAAATTGTCAAATTAAATTAGAATCGACACTTTCTCCAAATTCCGTCTCAAAGGAAAGAATGTATGCATAATTGTGAAGGTTTTAATTATTTTAGATAAGATTATAATGCCCCCTGGTGTCGAATCAAGAATCTAACGAAGCAGGAATTAAAACGCTGGTGGACGACTTTAACAGTTAGATGTTGTATATATTCATATATATTCTTATATGAAAAGTGACTTCCATTGATATTACCATTTTACCAATTTCTTGATCATTTCTGATTTTTTTTCATCAATATTGTAGAAGTAACATTGAAAACAAACATCAAGCCCAGTGCAGAACTTTTAAAGGATATAAAAGAAACTGCCAAGGAGAAGAGGAAAACGAAAGTGACAAAAGCGTTAGCTTTTCTTTCCAGCATTCTCCTCGTGGTAAGTTTGTTGTTGGGATGGTAAGCTCACAGTCGGATCGTTATGATATCATATCCTATTAAGTTCAGGTCATGGTGGCAGCTAAACGTTTTAAGAATGCCACATGGTCGTGAGTGATATCACATTTCATTACCTTTGTATGTATGACGTACGTTTTAATATTTCGTCTTCAAAATGTGTTCAAAAAAGTATTTTGACTGTAAGGAACGGCAACTCTGACAGAGTTTGTGTTAACTATATGGTTGTTGAATGCTAGTTATTGCAATTTAATGTAAAGTATTAACGGAAATGATGTAACAAGAAACATAAGTTAAAGTTTATAATGTCTATCCAGGTGCTTCACTAGTGTTTGTCTTACCTTCGTAGTGAATAGTAGCTTTCTGCAATACGGAGCAACCGTTACAAAACATTCATATAAATTACAAGAAAACTTTGCAACGGCAATGTCATGTATATGTGGTAGAAGAATAGAAGATGAATTTCAGATTCGATTAAAAAAAAAAGAAGTGTAGAGTTGTTTCCTGTTTTAGCGTTGTCACTTTTGTCAGTTCAATATAATTGGATTCAGACAACGTGTGTAATATGCCGCAGTGATCATGGCTTCAAAATGACATTTCTTTAAATTTGCGCTTGCAAGATGGATGCCGCTTACTTGCCTGAAACATAACTTTACTCCTCAGGGAAAGTCATGAATGTTAAAATGTACTTCCTCAGCTGGCGGGAATTGGTGTTGTGGTTGTTGGAGTTCTCAACATGATGGACGGAGAAGCCGAAATATTTGTAGCTGTCACTAAGAAGAGTCCAAAAGACGAGAGCTTCAAATACTACTGTTACGGACTTTGTTTTATAGGGACATCTGTTGTCCTTGTCTGTGTCTGTGGTCTTGTGGGAACCTTGAAAGTAAAAACATGTCTGTTGAAAATGGTGAGGAAAATGGTTTTTAATACCCAAATTTATGTCTATGGTGCTTTTTATTATAACCATGATTGTCTCATTTATGTCCTAAAATTATAAAACAATATCACTTTGAAAAATACGCCAGTTTTCACTATCTGATATCAAATTAAATAAAATATTAATGAGAGATTTTAATGATTATATCGTTGCTAGACGAACTCGGTCAATAAGCAACCCATCGTGTGACAAGAATTGACATTAAAGTGAAGAGATTTCCCAACGATTGCGTGTTAATAAATATCGTTTTCTATCAACGTCAAAAAATAAAATAACAAACAAACAAACAAAAATTTTGTTTACATACTTGTTAGGTTATCTTGGGTTTCGTGCTGCTGCTGATTCTCCAGGTTGTCATGGTAACCATGGTGGTGATATCACAGAAAGATATGCCCTCAATTCCGCTTCTGGCCGCTGTCATGGACGGGGTGAGTGTAGCTTTCATCCAATACATTCTACTGAATTATTTAAAAGGTAAATGCGAGTATCGATCTCATTCCTCTTATCTATCGTTTTGCTGTCCCAATGATATAACAGCATGATGGCTTTTGTTGAAAAATTCAATCTTTCGGGGAAGAAAATCATTCATTCAAGTGGGTATGGCTCCATAGCCAAATCTCAGTAAAGACGGTTTACGTCATCGATTACGTAGATAATGACATACAGTCGGATAGAAATGATAATGACAAATTAACAGTGTTCATGTTTTAGTAAGATAAAACCAATTCGATGAAGTATGCCTGATTTTTGAATTACTATAATGCTAGGAGGCAAACACGTCCGATTTCGCTTATCTTTAGAAATACAGAAGAATGAAACCAATCACTTGTGGATATGTGATACTAGGATCACATACCAAAATAGCTTCAGAAATCTCTCTGTGTATCGCCACTTCCCATTTTAGTGTGTTATGTGAGTGTTATGTTTGATATATTTTTGTATTACAGGTTAAGGATGTGGTGCTGGACCACATGAAGACGAGTCTGCATGATTCTTACAAAGTCGACACCTCAGTGGCTCGCGCTTGGGACCAGTTGCAAATACAGGTAAGAGTTTCATGTTATAGCTGTGTTTAAATTTTGACGAGAAAATGTTTTGTAGGCCTTCTAAATTCCATCAGTTATAACAGACTTGATCTTTCTTTTTTTTTTTTTTTTTTTTTGGTAAAATGACCTTTTCGCATAAATAATGCATTTTAATAACTTCATCTTGTACAAGGAGTCATTTATTGGGTTAAATTAATATATTTGCCATTTATGGATTAAAAAATGCCAATGTTTCGTCAAACTAAGATATTTTCTTAATTAATAAATTGTTTAATGTCGATAGTTGCGGCCGTGACTTTGTGTATAGATCTCTATTGACTATTTTAGATGGAGTGTTGTGGATGTCAGAATCAGGACGACTATAAATATAGTGCTTGGTGGAACACCACCGCAAACGTAAGTGTTAAGGTGAAACGTCATCTACTATCAACTATATCAAATACAGTTATACTGTTCGGTTTTGTTAGAGTAACACTTCTGTCACAAGCGTTCGGACAGGTTGCATAACAGTGGCGATCATGATTTCACTTAAATGTATCAAAATTCTGACAACGCTGTAGACTTGATACTCTGTAACAACGGAGATTTCAGTCTTAGCTTGTTCGAACGAAAAGCCTAATATCATGATTTTCGACATATTGGCTCATGTGATGAAACCTTATCTATATTCATGGTCATGTGGGTCATGCATTAAAGCGACTTTTCATCATTGACTCAAAGGCCTAGAATCATGAAAAAGTGACCTTGAGGTCACAGAGATCACATTTGCAGAAACATCCGAACGACTTTGTCTTACGTATCAACTAATTCCAGAGTTTGATTTTAAATGGATGAAAATTATTGTTGTCTTTTTGCGCTTTTAAATACATATTCCAAGTTGAAAAACTTCATTAATTATATCAAACAGAATCACCCAGAAAAGAATGGACCAGTTGTGGACAAGTTATGTTTAGATTTGATAGTAAAATTGATAGTTTTGAAATTACTTCAAAATTAATTTGAATGCCAATGATGTAAAATATATATACATTGTGAAAATCGGGTGAGTGATGCAGGTCTGTCTGTCCCCTTGTTTGTCATGGGTTGTAATTTCTTTATCATTAGGAATCTACGTCACTCAGTGTTGTTTACATGTATGTGTATATTCATGTTCCACTGGTACAGAAAAAAGTCATCAAATACCTTAATTTAATTACAGTCAAAGACAAAGATGCCTGACAGTTGTTGTATAGTGGCTGTAAAAGATATTGATAATATCAAACCAACAAACCAGTTTCTCTGTCAGTCCATGACGCCGGGATTCTGGCACGATGCGGTAAGGTCCGACATGTGTCTTATTAGCTAGTTAAAACCAATTGTGAAAATGTTGGTTTCTTCCGCAAGTAAAGGTGTAGCTCCAGACACTCTATATCCACTAGGCGATATGTATGTTTTTGACGGTGAAACACAAATGAATATGGTTAGGGAGAAGGGCGACATATTGTTGTTTATCGACATTAACCCAAGGTAACCGAATACTGTCGCTGAGGAATCGATACATTTGCTTGAATCTCTGTTGGTGAATCAATATAATAGTATAACAATGATGATGAAATATATTATATTATCATTAAACAATCAGGAAGATATGTAGATATGACTTCAATGTGTTACCTTCTTTTAAAAAATGGCCAGTGATTGTATTGACACTGAGATGTCAATGCCTAGAAATTTCTTGAATCTGCTATTCATTTGTGTTTATCATTTCTATATAACAATTTTGTTTTGGTTGGTGAAACTTTTAAATTGTTATGTGTAGATGATGATTGCAGGAATACTATGGTTATTTTTTGTTCTGTCTTGCTATCGATAATACTGTTTGTGGTGTTACAGGGATGCCATGATATTCTAATGATATGGTACAAACAAAACAGCGTCATGGCTTTCGGCGCGACGACAGGCTTAGCTGCTCTCGAGGTGGGTTTACCATTTAAACGTCATTGTAAAAACACACATAACAGCTATAGCTTAATGGAACAAATAACAGAATGGTTATTGTTATGTATAAATGAGATAACAAGGTCTCAAGGTACCTTGACAGCTTGAAAAACGTTAAACTGTCAGTTTAAAATGGCTTTTTGTTTTGACGCAAGACTAAAATGCTCGTGTATTATCTTACTATATATTAATATTTAATGAAACAGTTTTCGGTATGTTTTTATTATTACTCGACACAAGCCTTACCTACACCTGAACAATGTACCATGAATTATCTCTGATGTCCAGTAATATCTATTTTGAATATTAGACATAAAACAAGATTCTTACTTATACACGGTATTATCAGTACAAGCATATAAAAACTCGTTAAATAATTTATCCGATGAAAGTATCTGTTTAAAATTTGTATTTGAATTTATTTTACGATTTTTTTTCCATGAAAATAACACAATCGAGGTATATGAATAAAATACATTATCATTAGCGATGACCTGAGGAATATATATTCAAATGAAAGAAATAAGAACAGGATGTCCTTAAGAACAAACGAGCGATAGATGTTAGTGACAGGATGTACCAGAGGCGGGAGTTATCGTGTGATGTAAGGGACGAGATGTATACGGTAACAGGACTGAAATAATTTATGGCCAGATGTTTAAGAAATCTATATTTCATAAGCCATAGCATGAAACATGATATTAGATATGATCAAACATTTAATGAATGTCACTTAATGAATATATTCATTTTAATAAGAATACGAAACTATGGGGCAAGTGCATCTCACCATTAAATGAATATATTCATTTTAATAGGATTACGAAATCTACCAAGTTTTGGGGCAAGCGCAACTCACCATTTAGATTATGACGTTTCTTTATCTGTTTGGTTTTGCCTTAGTCTCCTCCTAGATTTTAAATCTTAGGTCCTTAGCATCACAAATGGGTCTTAGAGAGACGAAATAGCTGTATGACGCAGTGTAATTCATTATTTAGCTCTGCTGTATCTAAATCTGAAATTTATATTGATAGGTGCTATTCGCATGAGTGTTTTTCTACAATTCTTTGAAATGGTCTTGTAATATTCAATATGATAAAACATTTAAAATGTCAATTAAGGAAATAGATTGGTTTAAAAATGGTGTGGTAATATTGGATATCAGAAATAATTTAACGAATGATAATTGATGAAATAGACTCAGTTTTTTAAAAATGGTGTTGTAATATTGAACATCACAAAACATTTAACAAATGTCTATTAATGCCATAGATTCATTTTTAAAGTAATGTTGTAATATTAGATATCAGAAATTATCTAACGAATGCCAACTATAGAAATAGAAGCAACATGATATATACGTGTACATATTAAAAACACTTTGATTAACAATTTGATATACGACAATGATAGGCGATGAAATTGATACAGGTCCTTTCGTCAGATTTTCCTGTTAAGGTTTGTATACTTAACGTTTTAGCTGTATATCAATAGTGGCATCTTCAGAACCTACGTCATTGTTAGATGTTTACCATGGTGTTACTATATATAGTTGACATCTGGATTTCACATAGGAAAAATATGAAGTACTACCAGGGTCCCTGTATCACAACATATACACATCCCGTACTGTCATATATAATATACAGCGATGACAGATCGCTAGTTGAGTGAAATGTCCACTGTTTTGTTTATACAAATGAATTTAAATACCAACAACGAGTGAAATTGTTTCACCTGACATCACGTTAGAGACAATCACTTTAAGGAAACACATTGCATGTTCAACATTTTAACAGGAACATCTTTTCCATTCGCTTATTGCACAGTTTTTTTTGCTCTGGTTATATAAGTGACATGACATGTCACTTTTGTGACACCTGTTCAAAAGTGTGTATATTTCAAAGTGATATATTGATATGTTTAAAAATTTACAATACAGTACAACACAATACAATACCATACAATACAATACAATACAGTACAGTACAACACAATACAGTACAATACAATACAATACAATACAATACAGTACAGTACAATACAGTACAGTACAATACAGTACAATACAATACAAGACAGTACAGTACAATACAACACAATACCATACAATACAATACAATACAATACAGTACAAGACAGTACAGTACAACACAATACCATACAATACAATACAATACAATACAATACAGTACAGTACAGTACAGTACAGTACAGTACAACACAATACCATACAATACAATACAATACAATACAGTACAGTACAACACAATACCATACAGTACAATACAGTACAGTACAATACCATACCATACCATACCATACCATACAATACAAGCACAGCACAGTACAGTACAGTACAGTACAGTACAGTACAATACAATACAATACAATACAATACAATGCATTACAAATACAATACACCAATACAATACCAACACATTTACAATATAATACGCCACAGAGATACAACATGTATTCACTAAACAACTCGATAAAATAACCCTGGTTTGTCTTTTGTTATAGATGGTGAGCCTACTATGTACTGTCCGGTTATACTTGAGGCTGATACAAATGACAAGCAATGCCACTGCTGGAAGTGTTTAAACGAGCATCAGCCAATAGCACTTACTTAAAAAAAGACTTATTTGTAATTTTTCTGTTTTTGTAAACAAATGCTAACACTCTTTTCATGATCTAATTACTATGTTAATTATGTATGTGTTATAACTAATTTTGTGTATGTTATAACTATTGTTGTCGAATCATGGTACGACAGCTCGCGATAGTACAACAGTTATAAACTTTATTTTTGTAATACATCATCATCATCATCATCATCATCATCATCATCATCGTCGCCGTCGTCGTCATCGTCGTCGTCAAATTTGCATTTTATGTTTCATTGTAAACATCGACTGGAGGTTTTCCGTTCGCTTAATAAATACCATTCTGTTATATTGTGTTATATCATAACTCTGCTGTTTGAGATCTCTTACTTTATGCGCACCCTCCACATTATCTTTATCATATACAAAATGGTTCTAGATACAAAATGATTCTTTATCATATAGAAAATGATAGAAATGGTTCTTTATCAGATATAAAATGGTTCTTCATCAAATATAAAATGGTTCTTCATCAGATAGAAAATGGTTCTTTATCAGTTATAAAATGGTTCTTTATCAGATATAAAATTGTTCTATATCAGATATAAAATGGTTCTTTATCAGTATATAAAATTAAAATGTTCTTTATCAGTTATAAAATTGTTCTTTGTCAGATATAAAACGGTTCTTTATCAGATATAAAATGGTTCTTTATCAGATATAAAATTGTTCTTTATCAGATATAAAATGGTTCTATAAATATTTTTCAACTAAAACATTTGTTTCCATTTTGATATCGAGAAAGGAACAATTTATTCAAACAATATTTTGAGAAAATGTTTTCAGCAAAGAGTCTCGCAAATACAGTTTTCAATCGCTGTTTGTATTAAAAATAAACATCTTGAATATGTTTATACCAAACTGATAAATCTAATTCAGAATATTTAAATAACATTTAAAAAATGCATGCCGTAAAGAGATATCATTACCAAACGGAAGTCCGTTTGCCCAGACCAAGGGAGCTTACTCTTACAGTTATCATAACTACATTTTTCAAATCAAAATGTGGATTGAGGAAGTGTAATCTTAACTATGAACATAATTAACAGAAGATACCGGGATTGCTTTGACGTTTAACGGGAACATCCTTAACTATGAAATAACCACTGCACATATTGTCACTATTCCTAAATTTGGAATATTTGCACAGTATGACAACAACAATTTAACTATAAATTAATTTACGATAAAAGTTTTATGATGAAGGCAACCAGTTGCTGAAATGTTTAGTATTAACTAGGAATAATAAAAGTTCACCAAAATATTTGTTTCTATCTGTCAAACAAGACGACTATCTAATGATGTTGACATATTATCATGTTAATCAAGCTACAATGATACTTATGGTTTTTCTTTTATTGAATGCCAGCAAACGAAATAAATACACCATGAATTCGCTTGATATAGATCATTCGCAACAGCTTTACATTCAAGAATACGAAAAAAAATCATTTTGAATTTATGATGTGACTATTCTATGTTCAAATTCAACGCAGTTGAAATATCGACATTCTGAAGTATTCCAAAAGTCTTGTCAGAGAATAGGATGGAATAATACCCTTAACACTGCGAGTAAATGCAAAATACAATTTACAAAAAAAAAAAAAAAAAAAATAATAATAATAATAATAATAATAACAATGAATGAGTTTAAACTTGTAAATCAAAGTAATACATTGATACTGCAACGAAATACAAAGTATGAAACGTATTTCCTGTCCAGGTATATGATAGTTGTAAATTTACACCGTAACACATTTATAACTAAAATGAAGTGACCCTACTAGAAGAAATCTGTAGTCACAACATATTTAAGGATAAATTAACACTCATAGATCAATTAAAGATGTAAAGGATTTCCAGAAGATTTTAAAGTGTGAATACATTGGAAAGAAAATCCCTACGTTACGTCATATGCCTAAGCATGTATTAGGGCACACAAAGCTTCGGACCAGAGGTCATACTATCAACTCTCCAAATTAGATATCTGTCGGGGAACATCAAGTTACATAAAGTTTCCCAACAAAATTTCACTTCCTTCTAGATGGGCTTTGCTATCCTCACGAAACTCCTTGACGTTTACTCCAACTGTTGATAGTTTTGCTCCTTATTGTTATAATCTATAGCAATATAATCTATTGCGAGTATTTCGGCTATGACTGATGCTGAAGTATCTAATATAGATATATTTCTGACTTATTAACAAGATATACACGATGGCACTGTTCTTTGGATACTAGCCTGGTATATGTGTACTGAAGGAGAGTCACAGATACACATAATTCCACAATAGAATTATACCACCATCCGTGATACAGAGTCCGTCACAGATTGTACACCTTGTCCGAGAACGTTAAAATGTCCAGAATGGCAAATACATTATTATGTAAAATTGTGCTGTTTTTAGGAATGGACACATCGACACAACAGCAGCCTAAATATTCAGAACATATTTCTTTACCTATGCTAAAGAAATCGGGAAAATATAATTCAAAGGAACAGTGAGAACAAGAACAAAACACCAGAATGCTAATCAGACTTAAAATCGATGAAACTCTGGCTAAATAAGAACAACAGGAAGATGGGGTACAGAGACTTGTGCAAAAAATACAAAGAGAATAAGAACATTCCAGTAGGGTAAGCGTCTTCTACTTCATAAACGATACCTTAGGAATTGGGAGATCTGGAATACCAGTGAAATTATACAGACTTCCTGGCAAAAAAAACGGTTCGGGTACAATGGCTACGTGCGATCAGTCGAAAAAAAAACTATAAACCATCGTCTTACACAAGGGTTTGTTCTGATCATTTCACACATGGCGTTGGACCTATGAAACATGACCCAGACAAGGTACCGACTCAGCATCTGGCTCAAAGACGTTAAGACACACACAAAATGAGGAAAAGCCCAATCAACAGGGTGACAAGGCAGCCGTATTTTTTCTGACTTCACTCTGAGATTTAAAGTACATGTTATTGTGAAAAACTACGACTTGACTTGAAAAACTAGTCAATGACAATTTCATAATAAATAATTGTAGTAAGCAGCTAACTTCTGAAATTATACATTATGTATAATTGCCTACAAAGTAGTTACTGATAATAGCTAAGTTATGTAAATCATTGTTATTGTTGTCTGTGAGTGTGATATAATATTGATATTAGACATTATGTATTTTCTTAAATGATTATGACTATATACTGTAAGCCTATTTACCAAAGATGCATGGAAATTATTGTTATTATTTATCGAAATTTATTATTATGAATTCCATGGTTACCCTGAAGTTAGCTGTGAATACGATTGACCCAAACTGTAAAAATGTGGAACAACTCACCAGAGGAAGTAGTACTTGCACTCCACGAAACTACAAGTAAATTTGTTGAAAAGCAGACACGTAGCATAAATCACAATTGTCATCGGTCTGGTTGGTCTTCAGTTTATGTACTAGTATATATCCTTCTTTATAGAATTGAAACCCTTGATAAACTGTCTGTAGCAATGCATTTTTGCCTTGTCCTCCGTCCGGTGGCTGCTGTGAATAAGGTAAGTTTCAACATCTTTGTGTGTAATCATTGGTAACAGACTTTTTTCCCTATTCCAACCAATATCTGTTGTGTCATCCTATTTGATACAAGCACTTATATGAAACAGACTATAATCACGTGTTATGTAATTTCCATGTATGACGCCATCTTGAATTATACCGAGTCCACGAAGCTGACGGTCTTGTTTATCTGTCTTCATTAAGTAATTATTCAAGGACTGAATAATAGAACAATATCTAAGTCATCAAAATTTGGAATCTTTCTATCAGTGACAGTATAGCAAGTAGGCTTACTTTCTTCGTTTAATTCACCGCTATCACTTGTTGAAATTCCGAGCGTAACCTGAATATAATTAAAGGCCCTTCGAGCAAGAATGTTTTTTTGCCAGTTGTTTTAAGCTTTTTTTCCTTCAGAAATGTTTGTATCTCTTTTTTCTTTAAATTAAGAATGTCTTCATACGTTGTTTTGGAAGAAAACATATCCATCCACAACCAAACTTGAAAAATGCCGCTAGGAAAACATATAAACCGGAAGTGAATATACCGGCGGGAAAGAACGATAACTCGGTAGCAAGCGGCATAACTCGTGTTGGTGAAAAGACGGAATAGCCGCATTCATGAGATATTCGGGCATCGTAGACCAAGGGTCGTTCCAAAACATTCCGAATGAAATAACATTAACCATTCCTGTGTAAAAGACAGAGATATTCCAACAAATCGGAAGTCACCTGCAAAGGAAGTGAGAAAATACTTTTAAATTTTAGCAATTGCCGTGTTGTGACGTAATTTTTAGACACCTTTATCGAATGTTTTACTTCTTATAGCTTTATTTTTTGTAATCGCTGTTACTGGATGGATCTTTGTTAGTGTTCACTGGCAGGTCCAACCGGGTTCCTAGTTGCGCCCCTTTGATTTTGATTTTAGACAGATCACGTAAAGACAACCGCCGACGGACACCCAAGCACACGACCACTAATTGAAAAATTCCAGGAGAAAACGACAATGTGGTTACGGAGAGCAAAGTTTTTTTTTACTTTATCGACGATATCCGCCATGTAAATCTAGGTAAATCCAAGTACCGTCACCAGTTTCTGCCAGTTGGTCACGTTGTCACGGAATATTTACATGAGTTTATATCCAGGAATTTGTCGGATTTATAGAATTGACACGAGAGTCTAATATTATCACACTCTTACGCAAGTTTTATGGATGAATTTTTAAAAAATCATATTTACATTTGTCCTTGTTAAAATAATGATTATTTTAATAAATACTCCCATGTCAATTTTTTCCCTCCAGACACCAAATAACGCCTCTCTTCAACTTATATTTGTCCCCTTCCAATCCTTTTGGTTATTATTCCCAGTACTTTTCATGGCTGATTTTATTT